GTCATGAGAGGCTGGAGGAAGGGCTGCTGATCACCCACACTCCCCACTCGGGATAGGAGCCTCCTTGTGACCTGTCTCCCGGGAGGGGAACCCTCTTCTAGGTCATGGTGGCGCTGACATTTACGGGCCGCCAGCCGACAGGCTCGGGCGTCTCTGGCCTGGCACCCGGCTTGCCACCTGGCGACATTGTTTCATTTTGTAACTGTCCCAGGAAGGACAGTAACATCTGGCCGGCTGAGCATCAAACGAGATAATAATAAAGAAAGAGTTAAAAGCCCAAAGCCCTTCCTGTGGTTACGAAAGTGGCTACACGGATGCACCGTGACACTGGAGCCACAAGACCACAGGTGGTGAAGGCTACAAATAGTACAGGTCATTTTAATAAAGCCCTGGAAGCACACCGCAGCTGTGTGAAGACATGTGGTGAAACTCCTTGTAGGGAAGGGAAATATACAGGGACCACAGCCAGAATAACGGGCTGCCCTGTCCCCGACCAGATGCGGGCCGGAGTGTCCTGTGGGTGGCTACGCGGTTTGAGTTCTGTAATTCCAGTGTCTTTATAACGCCATATGTCATGAAGATTTTTAAAATTCTGTTAAAATACTAGGTCAAACCATCTTGAAAACTAACATCTAAACCGCTTTGACCAGAGACGGTGATTAAGTGCGTTTTGCCTCGCCTGATAAGTACTGCCCACGGTAAGCTCGGGACTGCCGCGCGCTCTACCCCATTCAGTTCTCCCCGTAGGCCACAGGAAGCCTCTGTTCCGGCACAGAAGCGACTTCATGGCTGGTCTCTGCTGCACTTTCCGGCGGAGTTGAACCCTGCCTATTTTTTGAGCTGCCGTTAGCCTTACACTTTCCACGGGTGCCAAACAGATCAGTGGCGCGAAAATCGAAGCCAGGGAAAGCCACAGTGAACGCCTGCCTCGTCGGTGCCACCGGGCCAAGAAGCTGCAGGGCCCCAGGTATGAGGGCGAGGCTGGGCCTGTTGCTTCCAGGGAGCTCCTGACAGTCAGCTGGCTCCCACCATTTAAGACCTGCCCGGCGGGCTGCTGGCCCAGGGCCCTTGCCCAGCACTACCAGAGCAGCTCTGGGCCAGGGACTTGATGCTTCTATTTGTGGAAACCAGAAAGTCAGATCTAGAGGTTCGCGTGCTCTTGGCCCTATGCCTTGGACATGATGATTAAAGCCAGGTCTGAGTTACGTTTTTTGTTCTAGCTTGAGACTCCCCTGTTCACCCCCTGTGCTGGGAAGTCATTTCTGGATTTTCGGAGAATGCCTCTGGGGTTTCTGGAGGGAGCGGGCAAAGTGCGGGAAGCCGACCTAACAGGTCTCAGTGGACGCTTTCCTCGCGAGGAGCTGGGACGCACCGAGCTGGCTATGGCCTCGGCCGCAGTAGTGGGAACTGGGAGCCTGGGGCAGTGACGGGAGCCGCAGGTGGAGCTAACCTCTGTTTTCAGCCAGCTTATGCTTGAGAGCCTGTGCTGTATGGGCTGTGGACGCCACTGCGGGCTTAGGGGGCCGGCTCGAATTCTGGCAGTGCTCCGACAGGGGACCAATTCTCTGCTCGAGATGTGTCCGCCAAGGTGTCCGAGCTGCTGGAAGGAGTGACACGGGCTCAGATGACCGCTGGAAACCTGAGCTTACCAGGGAAGAGGGCACGCTTCATGCTGCCAGGCGGAGGGCAGGGAGCACAGAGTCCGGCCCCAAACGCTTGTATGCGCGAGGACTCAGGATTAAAAGTGGTTCAAATGGCTACTGAGCTGTGGGAGGCCCCCTCCCCTGCTGACAAACGCCATGGCGCCATTGCTGGGCACTGTCTCATGGGCACGTGCCCGCTCCAGCCGGGACTTCTCAAAAGGGCCGGAGGAGACTGCCCTACACATGGACTCCTAGTCCTTAGGCTTGTGTGATCGACACCCAGGTTCTGAACAAATGCTGTTTTCTAACTCCCTTATTCCAGAGCCGGGCGACAGACACTGAAGAATTGTTTGCCAGATATTTCTGCAGAATAGCTGAAAATACAATTTGTATGAAATGCTATTCAATAAGGAACCAAAATGGCTTTTTGGAACAATGAAAAAGTGCAGTGGGCTAAACCGCTAGTTTGACTCGTTTTTAGGTGTTACATGCTACCAGAGGTGCCAGCTGCAGAGTACTTGTTGTCATTTGGTGGTCGAGTCCTTCCTGGTCTGCCGGATCGGGTGGGTGGGCAGGAAGTGAGTTTTAGAGAGTCTGGCTCTCTGATCATCCCGTGGTCATGCTTCATCGAGCCCAGGAGGAGGCCAAGGGGGACTGAGGTGGTTTCCGCTTCTCCCCTTCCCAAGGTATCTGAATCAAGTCCTGAGGAAGCTTAAGTGTCGGGGAGCCCAGGAGGAAGCAGCTCCATTGTAGACTCCTCCCACAACCTGCCTTTTGGAACTGGAGAACGGAGGTGAGGCGGTCCCAGGCGACGGCGCAAAGGGTTTTCTTTTTCTGAACGGGAGGTGGGGGCGGCAGGCTGGGGGTGTCCGTGAGAGGAGGGGAACCATGCCTGGGGAAATGGAGAAGTCGCCGCGCCATTCTCCTGAGCAGGCTGGGCCACCAATACCGCCTTTGGGGTGCAGCTGCAGGCCTCGCGGGCATCACCGAAAGTGCGAAGGCCCGCCTTCCTCAGTCACATTGGCACGGTGCCCAGCAAGTGGGTGACCGACGCTCAAGGCGCTTTAGTAGGGAGACGGAGACTACAAACACGCCCCGTTAATGTCAAGTCGTGGTAGAGGTGATTGAAAAGACCAGAGGCAGACTGATGAGGAGGGTCATACTGGGGTGGGCTGGGCGTCATGGCCAGGACCCACAGCCACGGAGAGGTGGCTTGTGAGGGGCCCACGGGAAGAGCTGGGTTACACCCCGGGGCTCACGAGGTCTCTGGGTTGAGCCGCAAGCGCGAGCTGTTGTTGTCGATGATGGGCGCCCGGAGGCCACAAGAAAAGCCGCACGGAGGTCGCGGTGGTCACGAGCCTTCTGTGCAGCCGGGCACGAGATGGTGGTGCCTCTGTCTCATCTACAGTGATCTAGTGACCCACAAAACTTCCTTTCCAGGTCGCTGTTGAACTAACCCCTTTCTCCAGTTGTGTTTTGTCATAACGACCGTCAGGTAAGGATTGCTGTTTTGTGGAGCTGGCTTTATGTCTGCTTTGGAAGGCTGAGTGTGTGTGTGTGTGTGTGTGTGTGTGTGTGTGTGTGTGTGTGTGTGTTCTCTCCACTGTGTGATGAGTGCCAGGGCTGAGGGGATGGCTGTGTGAATAATGGCAGGGCCGCGACAATGAGGCTGTGTAACTGTTGAAAAGAATGAGTAACGAGGCTTTTATACAGAAAAATTCCAGGATGTGTTAAGAGAAAAGCAACTTTGAAAAAACACAGGTATCCTCCCATTTTTGGGCAAATAACATATTCACAGAAGAAAATGAGAATGTTCGTTAACCTGGGAGGATAAAGGACTTGAAACTTCCAAAGTCAGTACTTAATTAGTGTTTACTCTGGTGGACACAGACTTCGGGTAATCTGAGGGCACAGTAGAGATGACCCGGTTGACTGGTCCTGGGGCCTGTCCCTCCACCTGCAGCGCCTGCGGCTAATCGAGGTCACCCGCTCTCAAGATCGGTTCACTCTGCCATGGCCTTGGGTCTCTGCCTTCAGGAAATTATGACCGGATTCCCTTTACTGTGAGCCACCTTTGCCCAGATAAATGAGGCCCGGTCTAGCTGGGCAGGTCCGGTGCCGTGGTGCTTTTACACCCGGCAGGTCTGCCAAAGGTTCTTTTGTCCTTCCGTCGCTGCTGGCCATGCCCACCGGGCCGTTTGCCAGGCTCAGCGGTTTGTTTTTAATTTTAACAATAGTCCGTGGTGAGGGTCAGTCATCGATAAGACATCAGTTTGAGCCAAAATACGTTTTATTGAAGAGTTGATCATTGCTGGCCACGTCTCGCAGTGTAGACGCGTCAGCCACAGGTTTGCGTGGCAGCGGGCGGTCGCGGCACAGACATCACCGGGGGCGTGAGGGAGGCCGGCTGCCGGCGGTGGCCATGTGTGCAAGGGCCAGAGAAGCTGGGGGCGTCTGTCTCCCTTTTTCTGCCGCTTTGGGCATCTGCTTCCAAGGCTCCTTTTGCTGGCTACCGGAAACAGAACATGGATGCCGAGAAGCCTAGAAAGTGCACCTCCTGCAGAAACCCTGGAGAGAGAGGGGCCGAAAACCTAGCAAAGCCTGGCTCGCCGGTGCCACCCCCCAGCCCCGTAGTCACGCTGAACGCCGTGTAGAGTGTGGGGGTCTTGGAACGTGTGTCTGAAGAGCCAGTCTGGCAGTCAGTTCACTTGTGGCCCGGAATTCGGCCTCACGGGACCTGTGGCGGAAGGAACGCCACCTGTGGCCTCCTCCTCAAGAGGAGAAGTGGGTGAGGCGAAGCAGTGGGGCCGAGAATGGTCCCCGGAGCCATACGCACGGTAGCTGCCCTCACCGGTGACATCCTCGTCGGGCGGGACACCAGGACGCAGCTCCCTAGCTGGTGGGCCACAGCCGGCCCGTCTGCCACCCCGCCTCAGCGCTGCTGGGCACGTTGGGTCAGCCAGAACTCTGGCATGCCAGTCCAGTGTCGTCTTCTGCACCCCTGTGTGAAACGACTGGGGAGTACTGCCCCAGCAAGCAAATGGCGGGCCATTCTTGTTCGGGGGTAAGCCCGGGGCCGTGTTACTCTTGGGCTGCTGTGAACAGGGGCTCTTGTGTCCGCACGGCCCGGGCCTTCTGTTTTGGGG